TTGGTTCTACCTTGATACGAGTTCTAAGTATTGAAGACAAAAACTGCCAGTTCTACAATAGCTTTTTGTTCACAAGTCATACGAGTTCTTTTGCTCTTCAGTTCCAATGTTTCAGCTCAAGCGTACACAGCACAAAAACACAATTTTCAGCATTGAACAGCGGTCCCTTCAGGTTGTCACATGCCTCTCAGTGCCAAACCACAGGTGCCCTTCTTGAGGTTCAAGTTCATAGAGGGCTCAAAAACTCGTTGAGGTCACGGGTGACTCTTGTTAGATTCATGACTTGGCCTTGCCAGTCTTTGCCCGAGCTTTTGCAGCTTGGATTTCCCCGTGGTACTTTTCCACATCTTTGGCGATGCCCCCGATAAAGTTCTCCAAGGAGTTGCGGTTGATGGCGGCCTGGGACGGCAGCTCGCCGAGGATGAGAAGCTGGTTCAAGTTCGTGATGTGTTGACTCAAAGTCTTGTAGGCATCCTTGACTCCCGACAACTCCGGCACACCAACCAGCTTGGAGCCGTCTTTGACCAAACGCTCGCATGCATCTTTCGCCTTCACCGCGAGCTTCTTGACTGACTCCGGAATTTGGCCCTGCTCATCCATTCGTTTCTCGTCCGCCTGATATGTTTTGCGATGAAGCGCATAAGGGCAACCAACATGTAGCTTCCCTTCAAAGGACTGTAGGGCTACGAACCCTGAGAGAACCCTGAGAGGAAGGAGAGAGAGAGAGAGAGAGAGGGAGAGACCGTGAGAGGAAACCATGACCATGATAAAATTCACCATGACCATGAGAGGAAAAACCATGAGAGGAAACTGATGAAGAATGTAATCCTTTTAAGAAGTTGCTCATGGAAGCCACCCACCCCTGTTCAAAGTTCACCCGCACCTGTTAAAAGTTGACCCACCCCATGCAAGCCACCCACCTTGCTCAAAGTGAACGTCCATTTGAGCTTGCTCATGGAGTCCGCCAAGGCATGGGCCTGCTCCTTGTTCAGCTTCTTATCTCCCTGGACTTGTTCGCCTGATTCGTTGCCTCGTAGCTCGGTGTGGCTGAACTTTCGGAATTGCAGGTATTCAAGCTTTGACACAGGGTCAATCTTCGACATGAGCTCGCCGTTGTTGATCGCCTGGTTCATCAGGGCCTCATTTCCGTGAAAGTGACTTGCCAACATCAAAGTCTTTGGCATGGCCTCAGTCTTGTCCTTGGCGACGTTGGCCTTCCAAACCTTCCTGTATTCTTGGAATTGTTGACGATCAGACATCACGCGAAAGGATCCATCATCGCCCTTCTCGAACAAGCTGTTGATGAGCTTGGTTTGGTAGGCTCGCTGCCCCTCCTTGGCTGTTTTGCTTTCCACCTGAAACATGTGCACTATATGGTCAGGTAGCGATCCATTGCTCAGCATCTTGTGGAACTTTTGGGCCTTCTGTTTATCCCTCACCTCTGACTCTTCACCTTCACCGCGTTGCTCTGCCCAATCCTGGATCGCGTCCACCGTCTCACGGATTGAGCCTGAAGCGGCTGGTTTCTTCTTCGCCCCCTCCGCTGCCGCCGAGCTTGGTCGCTTCATTGCTGGCATGGCTAGTCAAGGGAAGCGGATGGCAGTCAATCGAAATCACGTTCAAACTCAAAGACTTCTTGAGATTGGCGTTCAGGTTCACAAATGAGTGCTGAAACTCATCAAAGCTTTCAACAGTTCAGCAACCTTCACTTGTACGAATGACCGAAAACTCAATTCAAATGATGGATTGTTTGTTAGATTTCTATCAAAAATATTTACATTTTTGAATGGCTGAGTAGTGGATGGGGTCATAGTTTGGTAGAAAGTAGGTCGTAGTTTCTAGTCATACTTTGGTAGTACTTTGGTAGCACTTTGGTAGGACTTTGAAGGTCAACATGCAAAAACATTGGTATATACAGTGTTTTGTGAAATCAAACTATGACTCCTCTCTAAACTACTACCAAAGTACTACCAAAGTATGACTAGAAACTACGACCTACTTTCTACCAAACTATGACCCCATCCACTACTCAGCCATTCAATAATGTAAATATTTTTGATAGAAATCTAACAAACAATCCATCATTTGAATTGAGTTTTCGGTCATTCGTACAAGTGAAGGTTGCTGAACTGTTGAAAGCTTTGATGAGTTTCAGCACTCATTTGTGAACCTGAACGCCAATCTCAAGAAGTCTTTGAGTTTGAACGTGATTTCGATTGACTGCCATCCGCTTCCCTTGACTAGCCATGCCAGCAATGAAGCGACCAAGCTCGGCGGCAGCGGAGGGGGCGAAGAAGAAACCAGCCGCTTCAGGCTCAATCCGTGAGACGGTGGACGCGATCCAGGATTGGGCAGAGCAACGCGGTGAAGGTGAAGAGTCAGAGGTGAGGGATAAACAGAAGGCCCAAAAGTTCCACAAGATGCTGAGCAATGGATCGCTACCTGACCATATAGTGCACATGTTTCAGGTGGAAAGCAAAACAGCCAAGGAGGGGCAGCGAGCCTACCAAACCAAGCTCATCAACAGCTTGTTCGAGAAGGGCGATGATGGATCCTTTCGCGTGATGTCTGATCGTCAACAATTCCAAGAATACAGGAAGGTTTGGAAGGCCAACGTCGCCAAGGACAAGACTGAGGCCATGCCAAAGACTTTGATGTTGGCAAGTCACTTTCACGGAAATGAGGCCCTGATGAACCAGGCGATCAACAACGGCGAGCTCATGTCGAAGATTGACCCTGTGTCAAAGCTTGAGTACCTGCAATTCCGAAAG